TATATTCTTTAAGTAATTAGTGATAATATTTCTCCATTTAATATTTTTTTCTTCAATATCAATGATAGCATCTTTCCATGTATCACAGCACATCATGTGTTCCTGATGATTGAGTGAAATAATAATATGATTTACTCCACAAAGCTGCTGAACTTAACCCTCTTTATTTATTATTTGTTCCATTATACCCAGCATGCACCTCCACCGTATCGCCTTCTCCTTCTTCCTCCTGCTGGTTGCCGGGGCAGCCGTGCTGTGTGTCAACGTGACAACAGTGCTCCAGGGTTTCCGTGGATGCACAGTGAGGGAGTTCTCCTTTGTGGCCCACAAGCCTGGCTGCAAGGGGCTGCGCATCACCACAGAGGCCTGCTGGGGGCGCTGTCACACGTGGGAGGTAGCTCTCTCTCTCTCACACACACACACACACAGACACACACAGAGAAAATAAATGTCACATCAGCTACTTGTAACCTACACAGGAGTTTGTGTCTTTAACGCTGGGATACTGAAACATCCAATAAAAGAGTCATCTCCTATTAGTGCACTAATAAGATGTCGATACTACAAATTTTGGTATTGATCCGACACTAAGTAATTACGGGGCCGATAGCGATACTGATACTTAGGAGAGAGCAGTGTGTTTTAATTTATGAGATGAATCATGAACACTTTTTAATGACTGCCTAATCACTGTGATTTTCATTTTACACAGTAATGACACACCTTTCAGCTTTTTATGTATTGTGAAACTGGGTTTTTTGAAGACATGGAATGTAAATACACCTGTCTCTAAAGGACTTTGGGTTATTTTCTGTTGTTTTAATGCGATATGTGATATAGGCTCTCCGACCTGTTTCCCCACTCATGTCTTTGCTATGTATGTATGGTCAGGGGGTCCAATTTCACTGCAGGTGTAAAGACATTTACACCTGCATTTTTCATAGTGCATATTTGAGGTATATTATTTTACTTCCATAAACAAAATAAGTAAATAAGATTTCACATAATACCGTTGGCTATATACTGAAGGTAGCAGATAGAGACATAGTGCTAGAAACAATCTTTTAAAAAACAACAACTTCATTTGCAAACAAAACAGGAAAACATCTTAGAAGAGACATATCCAGGACAAGGACATAGACGACTCAGACATGGGGGATATACGAGCGAGTGTGGTGCGTATGATGTGCAGGGAAGAAGTGCTTTTAACCAAAACTGGTATCAAACTATCGATATTTGGATTGAACGTCCCACCTACATGTCCTAGGACTTGTACCAAACTATAACAAAGCTGATGATCTGTTATTGTCTCGTTAGCTTTCTGGTAACTTTTTTTTTTTTATAAGAAATGCTCAGATCCCAGTCAGGGGATACCAATCTTCCGCTGTACTTCTGAAAACTTGACATGTTAATGCTGTACATCTGGGTAACTTTAGACAACAACAACTTGCAGTCTCTGTGTTTTTCAGACTGATTTTTTATGTCAACTATTACTACATAAAATTTGAAGTTTGTTTTTAAACTTCCAAAAAAACCACCAAAATTTATGTTTCTTTGTTTTTAGTTCAACTTCTTAAAAGCTTTTAATTCATGTGAGAGTCACTGAAGTTTGTTTCCTCCAATCGCAACCTGTGATTCACCTGTGTGTGTGTGTGTATGTGTGTGTGAACCCTGCAGAAGCCTGTACCAGAACCCCCCTACATCCACCGTCACCACCGTGTGTGCACGTACAACCGCAGTCGCCACATGACCGCCCGGCTGCCCGGCTGCCAGCCTGACGTCTCCCCTCTCTACCACTATCCCGTGGCTCTGGAGTGCCACTGCGATGTGTGCTCCACACAGGACACAGAGTGTGAGACCTTCTGACAGACAAGGCTCTCCTCTCCCTAAACGCTTCCATCAACAGTGTGATGGCGGAGTATGAACTGAAAAAAGATAAAAACATGTGATTCAAACTTTAAGTTGGTGGTGATAGCACTTAGAAAGATATAACAGCAGGATGTTTATACTGAAAAACAAAAAAAGTCCAGGAAGATGGATATTTCATGACTTTGTCAACTAACAATAATGTGCATCTATTTTGCATCTGCTGTAAAAAATACAAGTAATGTCATACTCATAATGTTCACGATACTCGGTTTCTCATTATATAGACTGCACAAAAATTAACATTGAATGCATTTTGTAACGTAACAGTTTTCCTGTCCTTGTGTACCAAGTTATACCGAAATTGGATACAACTAATATGTTTGGGAATACTCACAAATAAAATAAAATAAAATTCCAGCCCGCAAGTTTTCCTACTTTTACATCAATGTCTGAAAAGAAAAAAAAACAGGTAATATGCAGTGCGCTGTTTGCAAGAGCTCTTCGTCAGCATGTAATACTTAAAGGCATTAAGGAAAACACACTATAAGCAAGCAAAAACTATGGGACGCAGTTACCTGTACCATAAAACAGGCTTCAAACACATTAAAGATGACATGGGTGAAAATAAAAGGGAAAGCTAATGCAAGGGAGGTGAGGGCTGTTAACTCGCTATTGATCATATGAGTCATCACATTAAAGAAATGGATGGGTCATTATTACCATCACTGGGGTTAGCAGGTGAAACCTCCGCGGGACCCTCAAAACCGGCACCAAAGGAAACAGCCCTCGTTACAGGAGACGCAAAACATCTTCAGAAACCTAAAGAGGTCCATTTGCATGCTTTTCAAACTCTCAGATTACTGGACATAGCATCTGCTTGTCTGCCATCAAAGACATGACAGCAGTGCACATGAAAGGAAATGGTAACAATTACAATGTATTTACTGAGTAACGCTCCAGATGTGGGCAGATTTGCATTAATTCCAAAGGCAGGCTGGTCAAAGGCTTTCTACCCATCAGTGTGTGAAGCACTTTGCTTACCATGACGCACTGTTTCTTCTTCACTCACCTTTATTCGCTCTCTGTGTGGTTATACACAACTCCACGTGTAATTTCTTCCACAGTTTCTTTTGTCCCGTCTTCCTCCCTTCATCTCCAACCAGTCTCGGCAGATGGGCGCCTCTCCCTGATCCCGGTTCTGCTCCTTCCTGTTAAAAGGGAGTTTTTCCTTCCCGCTGTCACCAAGTGCTTGCTCGTAGGGCGACGTTTGATTGCTGGGATTTTGTCTGTACTAATGTAATGTCTTTACCTTACAATAATACGAATGAAGAGTTATAAGCTGCATTCGTAATCTGTACTGGCACATTCTACAGGCACATGCTAAATGCATGCTAAGTCGCAGACTAATAAAATGGTAGAATTACTTCTTCTTCTACTTGGACCGGCTCCACCTCATAGCAAGCCAGATTATTAGTCAAATATTTCAATTAAAACAAGGCAGGAAGGCACCAGCAGCACAAACACAGTTACGAGTTCCAGTTCAGTACCTTCAATTACTGGAGGTGAAACCCACCCAACCCAAAACAGTCATGGCTCCTTAGTAATCAAGCAATCCCCTCACTCCACTCCAAGCCTTCACAATGTCCGAGTGCATGAACCATGTTGAGTTGATATGAGGAGGGAAACTATAGAGACTGAAAAACAGGCTGTAAACATGCTTTTGAACGCTGTAAAGTCGAACATTTCAACTCAGCAGTCTGTGGTTATTGTTTCACTTTTACAGCCAGCCTCAAGTGGCCGTTAAGGGAACTGCAGATTCTGACACATGCCCACAGTTTTGCCTCCTGGTTTACCTACAGATTACAAAGGATTTAGCACTGTATCAACAGTGAGAGATCAAGTGGTTAAACAGTGTGCTGTAAGTGAAATGGAAATAAGTGTGAGCAGCTTCACATGTCAGGCATCTTCAAATAAATCTCACAGTTTAAATGGATGCAGGCACAGTTTAATCCAGTAAGTGACATCCTGATGCTCCTCAGCACGCTGACTGTCAGATGAGTTCACAGGAACACATTCCACAGGCTTTTGCTCTGCTTTTTGTAGACAATGCTGGCCTTTTTATATTTCCACTCCTCCGTGTGTGTGTGTGTGTGCACGTGTCCTCAGAATGGTACACCTTGAGCTCACTTTGTGGAAACTCCACTTTCCTCCTGTCAGTCTAAATTAGTTAAGTGTTCTATGTGTGTGTCTGTGTTTCTGGGAGCTTGTGTGTGCAGTCTGAGATATACGATGCTATTTCAGATGCACACAAAATAGTTATGTACAGCTGATTTGTGTCACTTGTTGGAATTATAAAGATACAGAAAAAGTAAAAGACTGTATGCTTGTTAATTTGTGCGTCTGTGTGTGTGCGCGTGTGTCTAAGGTTGTTTGCATTATCAGTGGAAGTAAATGGGTCGGCAGGATTAAAACATCATCTTAGAAACAGGAAAACTTTGTCTAATCCTCTCCGTGCATTGTCTCTGCGCCCAAAATAACACACACGTAATTTATCTCAAACTCACATCGACTTCAACACTTTGACAGCACACACAATGTCCCGTCAGACATGATGATACACACACGTACGCCGCTTAGAATAACAGTCGCACACAATATCCCTACCCTCACTTCAGACACACACACGCACACAATGAGATTAAAATAACAGGGCAGAAGTGGAAGCGGACACATTAATGATATTATAGTTATTCAAGACGCCATGGTCTCCATGGCAGCTGAAAGCGACGGGGACACTGAGCGATACAAACATCAGTCGCCCCGCTGAGTCACACTGGAGTAATATGTGTGTGTGTGTGTGTGTGTGTGTACGCTTCAACTCAGTTCATTGACTCCTGATGAGGTGCTGTGGCCCTTTCAGATTTATAACCTCTCTCTTTCTCTCTTTCTTTTTGTTTCTGGTTGGCATGGAATAAGAGGAAACACACACACACACACACACACACACACACACACACACACACACACACACACACACACACACACACACACACACACTGTGACCGTCCATGACACTTGGGGTCAACAGGCTAATAGTTTTATGACTCCGTGTGTGTATAGGTGAGGGGTTCACGGTGATGATGTCACACATTCCATTTTCCATTGACATAACTGGAGTGGGAATGTTTGGGGTAGAGGGGCCATATTGATAATTGTGTTTTCCTAAGAAGGTGTGTGTGTGTGTGTGTGTGTGTGAGAGAGAGAAGAGTGTGTGAGGCTGCACACACTGGAAGCACCAATGTTCTCAGGGGTTGAACTGCTTTGCAGTACCATGGAGATATAACCGCTTATGTCATTCAAATAAAGTGTTCAGAGTGTCCTGGTAGTGAGAAACGTTACCATGTTTTAGCTACAAACTCAAAGTCATGATAAAAGTGAAATTCATGTATGTCTTGTCAATAATGCACATGTCATTAATATTGTTACAGTTATAGTTACAGAATATCTCTCCATCCCGGACAGCGTCATTACTATTTTATATTTCTAATTTTCTAACGATGTATTGATATATTTTGCAATGTTGTTTTCAGTGTTTTTCACAGTGAGACACTGTAGGTGTCTTTAAAAGCCAGGGAGCAGAAGCTGCAAGGAAGAAAAGCCCAGCTTTCTAATCTATGTATATTTTTATTTATTGATTCTTTACAGTGCAAATCAGCCGATTCTTTTCTAAAGCCATTTTTTTATTGTGGTGTATAAATTATCATTTGCTATTGTAAAGTAAAATAAAATAATTCCACTAAATAACTTACAGTAAACATTTTGTTTTAATTTAAAAAAGAAAAGTTTAATCAGAATCATATTTTAATGCTAAAATATAATAATTGCTATTATCAGTGAATTTTAAAATCTGTGATTTTACAAAAAGTAGTTTATTAAGACGCCAAAAATGATTACAGTCTTTAAAATGATGGCTTTACTGAACAGGAAAATCAGATTTACTGGTTAAATCTATCCATCCATCCATCCATCCATTCGCTTCCGCTTATCCTTTTCAGGGTCGCGGGGGGCGCTGGAGCCTATCCCAGCTGTCGTAGGGCGAAAGGCGGGGTACACCCTGGACAGGTCACCAGTCTGTCGCAGGGCTAACCACCGTTCCACCGTGAACCCCTCACCTAACTGGTTAAATCTAATGTTTCATTAATTTCTCAAAGAAGTCCAGCATGTGGACTAAATCTAAAAATGTGACTTTAGTAATTTAGTAATTTGTTTTAAACCAATTTAAAGTTCTAAAGTATTAGTGTTTTTATGGCTGATGGTCTAAATCTTTTGATAAGACTCATGGGACTTGGTATTTTTGCATTTTCTCTCCACATTTATCTATAAGTAAATCACAGAGCAGAATCTTTGAAGGCACGTATAGAAAGCAAAGTTTTGATAAGAGCACAGAGCAGCCCTCCTGTCTTACTCACTGTTGTTACCTTCAGAAATTGCTTGCAGAGTTTCACCTTCTGACATCTTTTGATCTCGAGTGACAGTTTCACTCAGAAACATCTGTTCAAAGAACCCAAACCAAAGTTAAGTTTTATTGACTTTATTGACTTCTTAAAATCGTCTCTACTGGCACAGTATCCAGTTCTGTCAGGGGCATAGATGGCTTTAAAAGGTCCACAGTTGTATAGCCTAACATCAGTGGTCTACTCGGGTCCCAGATTCTTTCTCACAGCATTAAATAAAACTCAATGAAAAACCAAAGACATTAAAGTATCCCTCGGGAACCTTTTTAAAGATTTACACAGCCATCAGCGGTCTGATCTGGCAGTTTGGGACATTAGCGACATGTTGCTGAAGCTGCTGTTAAAAATCCAACTAATAATGTGGGAGTCTATTAAAAGAATGTCTTTACCTGCTGGAGTTTGGATGAGGGTGGTTGCTAAGCTGACTCTCTCTGTTCATGATGAGGAAGAAGAGAAGCAGAGCCAGCTGTTCCCCACAATATACAATATACCTACCATGTGTCTCTCTCTCTTACTAACACATACACACACAGTTGACCCAAACCCACAAAATCTTCGGATCTGACCCCGTCCTTCCTCCGGCAGCCACAAATGGAAAAGCCAGCCCGACTCTGTATGGGCTTGTGTGAGGTCCGCCTTTCAGTTCACTCGTGCTGTGTATCAACTGGCAACCGAGGCCTACAACATTATTATTTCCTGTGTGATTTGTGTGTGTGTCTCCGTGCATGCATGTGGGGCAAAGCTGTGAGCTTGATGGAAAACCTATCTAGTTTTCCTCTGTGTCACAGCAGCGGTCCCCTTAAAAAGGCTGAAAACTGGGGAGCCTGAGACAAAGGGGGAGGGAGTGGTGAAGGGATGGTAACACACTCCAAGAAGAAGTCATTCAGGAAAAAAAGGTTCACCTCGATTTTAGAATATAGAGAGAATTCAGTACCACAAGTGTTTTGTCGCGCAGGTAGAAAGAGCAGCCACAGAGGAGGAGAAAACGGGAGCAGAGGAAAAGAAAAAAGCTTCAGACACACTCAGCTCTCTAATTGTGGGCGTGTCCAGAGCTATAAGTGCCTTCGTTCTTACCTGTGTTACTTATATCCCTGCATGAGGCTCAGAACAAGCACTCTCTCACAGACACCTGTCAGACGACACACCCCTGCACTTGAGAACTCTCAGCTCTGCATCTCCAGGTAAGAGCCTTCTCCTTTTTGTTTAGTTTATTTTTTACACCAGATCTAAACTTTAATGCACTTAGACATTTAAATCAAATGGTGCTTTTTTCTTTCTTAATTTCCTACAAACTAGATTATATTGACATTACTAAATTTTAAGGAAGAGCTTTCATCTTTTTTCTCGCTTCCTAACATCCTGCTGTGGGAGGATTTTTCATGTATTATATAATAAGAAACATATCACGGTAAAAGCACGTCTTGCGTCATATCAAGTATCTATAAATATGAAAAAATGCTATTTTTTTTATTCATTTGCATTTCTCAAAAATACATCCAAATGATGCAGTTTGTAGAAAAGAGTTTTGCAGGGGTTTTATTTTGAAAGTCATGACTACAATTGTATCCCTTTGTTTTCAAAATTATCTTTGCAAAACTAAGCAAAGTGAATATCATTTACACAATGGTTTTTTGGAGTCCGTAACATGAAAACAAACAAACATATATAACACACTAATATGTATTTATTTTAGTGTATCATATTCACAGGAAGAGCTTTAGGGTTAAGGAAACAGGTTAAGTTAAAGCTAAATATTTATCTTTTACTTTTTTATTTTCAGAGAAGCCTAAAACTTTTCCCAAAGTGGGGAAATTTCTACTGTCATGCGGTCATATGTAAGCGACTGGACTATTGATTTGGTTGCACAGGCAGTGTTAATGGCATCCCCCAGGCCTTTCTGCCAATGCCACAGTCGTGATTCCTCGGAAGTAGAGCTGGAAAGAGCTGCAAATTTAGAAGGCAGGGGTCAGCAGCGTGAAATTCCCAAGAAAATGTGACTTTGTTTGCACACGTGTGGGTGAAGTTGGTGGGTACGTCAAACCTACGATGTTCAGGCTCATCGATCGCGACTTGTGTTCGTCTGCGTGTGCGCTCGACATATATATTTGTGGCTGTGTACGTTCTGTGAACTTAAACGGAGTGCGTGCGTGCGTCAGCTGGTACCTGTTAAATGAAGCAGACTGTAAAGATAGAGACAGTGTTGTCTTTATTCACATCAGCCGTTACTCAACCGAGTGACACACAGGCAGACATGCAGGATGGGAAACCACCTTGGCAGAAAGAGCAGGAGGCTCTCAGGAGGCCATTCATTTGAGGGGAAAGTTCATCCTGAGAAGATTAAAAAAAAAGACATCATGGCTTCTTCATGGCCCAGAAGACCAAATGCAAATCTGATTTAAGTGACGTAATGACTGGCTCCAACTTTTTTTTTGGCATGCTCTTCAAAACCAAACAATGCCTGCTCGGCTTAAAGAGGTTAAACTCTCCAAGATTTTACAGGAAACCAGGCAATAAAATAAGACAAAGCTGAAAAACTCTTTTGTGCAGCAATAATCATTCTGAGCCGTCCTGAGGCTGCTCTGATTTATTGTGCCAAGGATCGGAAACCACTGGCCCTGTGCATTTTGCATGATTTCCTTAAAAGCTGGGGACAAAACACTTTTTCTCTTTCCTGGGTTCTTGTAGCAACATTTAACGTATCCCTCTGTTTGAACCATTCAGATGTCGCTGTGCATGACCTCACATCTCTGCCTGCTGGCCCTACCAGTGATCTCACTCCTGCTGCTCTCCTCTTCTATTGGTTGGAGCTCCGATGTCCTCACCCCAGGCTGTCACCTTTACCGTAAGTTTTGAACTGTATAGTTCAGTTTCCAGGTCTAAAGTTTGTGGAAGAGGTAACCAGAAGAAATTCACAGATGATTCGCGGATTCAGTATGCTCATACTACGGAAATTACCCCACCTTTGGCTGCACAGTTTTATGCGATATTCAATTCCCAAACCTCTTCCAGTGTGGGCTGTTTCTCAGCAGACACTGTGGCCCCTTTCCAAACTGTAAACCAAACAGGAACCAAATTTTGGGTGTTTTTCTTCAAATATAGGTTCACCAACCAGAATGGAAACAGTTCGGTGTTGCTGCAGTGTCCACTTAGATATACTTTTTGTTCAAAGTTAGCTTTTAGCATTAAATCCTCACAGACTTAAATTATGTCCTATTCTAGCAGCATTATCCTGACAGTGCCAAACCATACTTTTCATAATTGTGGTTTGGATCTTTTTTATTTTAACGTATTTTACTTTTTCATGGATGAATAACCTCAGAGACTGAGGTCTGATTTAAACTGACTTATAGGCTTTTGCATTTATAAACATGACCGAGAAATAATAGTCCCACAATCAATTTGTATGTACTTGTCAAAGTATCATACATCCACTTTCTTCCACTTATCCAATTCAGCGGCCCCGCGGGGTTCTGGAGTTTATCCCAGCTGCCATAGCATGAGCTGGGTACACTCTACAGGACGCCAGGCTGTCCCAGGTCAAAATATCATTTTGACATTTTCATTGTGGACTTAAAAAGTACACTCAGCATTTTTTTTTTTGGGAGGGGGTGGTGGTTATGTAATAAAAGGTAAATGGACTAGTTCTTATATAGAGCTCTTCTATTCACTGCACTCAAAATGCTTTATACGACATGTCTCATTCATTCATTCATTCATTCATATATGCACTTGTTTTCTATACCTTTTCTACCTAAGTGCTTTCTGTCTAACATTCCCACACTGATGGACGCACTGGGGAGCAACTTAGGGTTCAGTATTCACCTAAGGTTACTTGGGAGCATGCCTTCTCATAAACTTATAATTCATGCATTAGAAATACATAGGAACTGGTCTGAAGTTGGTGGAAACCACCCTGCTCCACCATGTAGCCAGAGACCCACCACATTTGCAGTACACCAAAGCATTACGCCAGCTAATGCTAAGCTTGAGTGTCCATTACATTCTCACAACATATTAGTGCTAATTCACTAAGCGCCAAAGTCCACCAGTGTCACTTCAAAGAAAGTTTTATTATTGTCAGCAAATAGTAGCTGATAGAGGCTAACAACAGCTAATAGACAGTACAGTAGTTAAGGGTGGCAAAGTTTAG